AATTCTAAAAGAACTCCTTTTTATGTGTATATTTTTTTACCAAAGAAATAAAATACTTATGAGAAAATATATATTTTTATATCTTTGTTTTGTATTTAATATTTGGGTTCGCGAAAAGATCTCAATGATAAAAAAGGGCTACGAATGAAAGGAAAAAAAGGGGTTATGAATGAAGAAGCATTGCTCTAAAAGAAAACGAATCACATACACAACGCTACTGTAACATACAACTTCCTTTGATGTATTAATGGAACTACTATCACTGTATCAGTGGTTATTCTAATAAAGTTCAGAAACTCACAAGAAATATACATTTCAATTATGTCTAAATACGCCTAAAGTAATATCTTCAATGAACAAAAGCATAAAATACGAGGTAACGATATTTAATTTTTATGCAGCATAAAAAATAATAATCATAATATCTCATTCTCTGTGCATAAATATATTTTATAGAATTTTGAGTTTTACTTTATTAAAGGCAGTCCTTTGTTGGTAATAATATTGTTTCTTATATCTAAGAAAAACAATATTAGTGCTGTAAATAGCTATAAATAATGTTTTTTCTTTTATTAACAAGAATAATGGTATTGTAACTAATGTACGTGGGTACTTTTTTAACATGAGAAAAGATTAAAAATTAAACTTAAAGCAGCGAGACAAATTGTTTGCTTAGCGAGATGCACAAAATTACTATAACGCATTTTTATTTAATTAAAAAAAACTTTTTAAACTTAAAAACTGCATTAAATGCAAAAAGTTCTTAATATAAAGAAAAAAATAACCAAGCAGAGAAAAACTAACAAGAACGATACAAAATAGTTGAGTAGGCTCATAATTGCAAAACATTAAAATATTTGAAATGATCCATGTTACAACCTCAAGATTATCTTCTGTTATAGATGTACTGCGGAGGAGTGCTTTGAAGATAATGCGCGCAATTCCGTCGAAGCGTTGCTAATCAAACTGAAAAGCAAATTATTATTTGAGATATGAAATAGAATACCTCATTCTGCTCTCATTGCTTTCAATTTTTTCTTTGAAACTATAGCTTGCGGCTTAGAAAGGCAGTGTAGTATTTTGTTCGTCAAGTACTTCATATTCGAGCAACATAATTTTGTGGTTACAGTGTGTGTGCCGTTGTTTTTAAGTTCATCTTCTCTGCCCTCGAGCACATGAAGTGGTACGTTTCTCGGTAGAGGGAATTAGCCTTCAGGTGGGCGGAGTTAGACGTCCGGTAAGACGAAGTACGACGCAAATTATCACAAACTTATTATGTTTCTTACGTTGTCTCTAGCTTCATACATAAATCTACACAATTAACACATTTTCAGCTTATTCGAAACAGTTGCTTCAGTCTATGACCCATAATTGTCTTAAACGCTTTATATCCTACACTCTACCCTCAGATAGTTATAATTATTAATGAACCTAGAATTTTACCTGGTTATTCGAGAATTTCGAAATGCGTTCCATTATTCCTTTCTACGGGGAAGCGAATTATTTTCAAGTATTCCTTTGCGGAGACCTTTATGATAGTGCTCCATCAGGAGAGGTACCGATACCTTTAGTCGCCCTGATCTGTTTAGTGGTTAGCGAAACTGGCTGTCATATTGTTTGACTCGGATTCGAATACTGGAGAAGGCCCTGAATGTTTGTGTGGCATGAAGGAGCATAAATTACTTGCGAGTCCAAAATCCTCTCGAGAGGTTTGGTGGTGAAGGAAGAGGAATAGAATGCCCTCAGATCCGTCTGCTGGGGTATTCTTCCGCAAGCTTTGGAGGAAGCAGTACAGTTAAGTTCGGTGGAACTCTATCTTTTAAAAAATGGTGAAGTTCTGGTGTCCTACCTACTTCTTCCTGTCCTGCCAGCGTGTATATATAAGTTGCCACTGTTTGAAAAGACAGAATCTTTGACGGGAGTGCTTCAGCATAAAAGTGCCCGTAACTTAGATCAGTTGAAAAACCTGCAAAAATCCACCTCTTTAAAGATACTGACTCTTTTGGGCCGGGGCAGCGCAATGTAAGTAAGATTTAAGTTTATAATCGGAGTAGCTAGATAAACGAAAATTCTACTAGCTTTGTGATTCTACGGGATAAAAATGCCCTCATCTTAATGAAGGTTACTTTTTTTTCAGTTTAGAAAATAATCTACATAAGTGGGTGAAACTTTAAGCCACAGCGCCTATATGAAGGCTTCTGTTTTCTTTAAACAGTAGATGATATGCGTAAAAGTGCCAATACTGTGATGACAGAGCATCGTTATGAAGCCATCCCTTTCTTTTATTGGACAACAAGTCCAGTAATAATAAGAAATGCAATTTTACTTAAAAGACTCGATGCGTATTTTAATTTTTTAGATAAAGCTCTTTTATCCGTCTTGGTTATTTCTTCTTCGTGAATTTTATTTTAGAAAATATTCCTTTCGATGGTGATTATGAGGGCTGCTTCCAGGCCAGGCTAGCGTTTGAAGCCCTTGAAAAGTAAAATAATTTTTCAGGATTCTGGATTGGGAGGGATTGTCGCTTTGAAAAATAACAGCATCTTGAGGTAACCATACATTAAACCGCGGGAAAAGACGCTTTTCAAGATCGCCTCCTATTTTAGTGAATTTCCATTCCTTTTAATTATTTCGATGGAGGTCAATAGATATGCAGTAACAAATCATTAAAAATGGAAGGGGCTTCACCTTAGTTATAATGCAACCATCTTTCTTTGTTTTTACTTACCTCCTGCGAATGTGTCGAAAGCTGGTATTAGGTATTTGATTTGAAGTCTCATCAGAAAAACAACTTACTGAAAAAATATCGATAATAATTAAAAAATATAATCTTAATAGGGAAGTAATAGAATAAGAGGATTTAAAAGGATAAAAATCGTATAACATTAGTTTGAGCATAAAGAATAATTAAACTTTGAATAAATACATTGCTGCAATTCATATGGCATAAGCTGGACCCCCCAAAAAAATGATTTCTTTATCATATAAGTTCCAGCTTAAGTTTTCTAGGTGGTGTACAAGGTTTTAATTCAGTTTGTATATATAAAAGTCCAACATATAAAACTTAAAGAAACAGCAGGAGATTGAAATGAATGAATACAATTAAATAAATCTAAATATTTTATTATTATGATAGCGATTTAATGAAATATTGTTAACTGTTGAAATAAAGTCAGCCTTTCCAAATGGAAAGAAAAGTTAATAGAATTTATTTAAATGCAAGTGATTTAAAATATGTTGCCATTTATTATTACAAATTGAAATCATTTAAAAATTGTTTGCTGGAACACTATTCAAATGAAATTACTTTGGCATATTATACAGCCCACGATAAGGAAAAAAATCCGTAATGTTTTGCTCAAGATTTTATTTCTTTCTCAATGAGCTGAGATCCTATAACCCGGCCCTTTAATTACATATTACAAGGCTCAGATACTTTCTGTTTAAAAAGAAAAAAAAAAAAAAAAAAAAAAAAAAAACTCGAATTGTAACCTTGACAATATGTCGTGTTGACTTTCACCATGAATTTTCACCATGTCGCTTTCACCATGAATTCCTGACATTTTGCTCCCTTCAGAAGATAATACCAATGATTCTAAAACGCATGCCTGATATCTATAAATTCTGGCTACGCTTTTTAACTAACTGCCAACCCTTATTAATGTTTTTCGGCGAGTTATTGTCTTAGACAAATACTGAGGTCAAATCCATTGAATTTCAATTAAATTAAATCGCCATGGAAGTTTTATTTTAATAAAAAACTTAGCGTCAACTTCAACTTTAGTTTATGAGCTAAATAATTAATAAACAGTTTCAGCTGCCGCTGTGGCTCTCACTGTTGCATCTAATTAAAGTAAGTTACTTTCAGCTGACTTACCACACAAACCTTTAAATATATATTAAAGTTCCGTTAGGAAATCAGCTGCAGCTCAAATCAGTCCAAGAGAAAAAACGAATAGCATTCAAAGTGTAGGTTATTTTGCAACTTGTCATATCAGATTTACTTTCGCTTTCTTCTTAAGTACTCTTTAATAGGTGTAAAAATGACTTCGAATTGAGGACCTTCTCTCCACGGGTAGGGGCTTTTACCTACCCAGCTATTCTCCTGGGTTAAGCTGAGGCGAAGGAACGTTCATTTATTCATATACCAACTTTGCAAAATGACTCGAGAGAAATAACAGTTTGATGTACTTAGTCAATAACTTTCAAGTAATTACAGCTGTTACACTGGTTCATTCTTTCAGATCGGCCGTAACATTTGAGAAAATATTGATAGACTGAACTATCTGTTAAAAATAATGCTATTTGCTAAACCGCTTATTAATATACACATAAAACGATAACATGTAATTTAAAATAACGCAAGTTTAATGGCTAGCAAAATCGATCAAGAGGGTAATTAATATTAACATGCTTAACCAGCTTCCGAAAATAGATGTAATTTATGGCCGTTCAGTGCAGAAAACCACTATTCGCTATATAGTGGTTTTCTGCACTGAGTAATTTTACGTAAATAAAAAATAAATAACTGAAGTCTCTACCTTACAATTTCAGCTTAGCAGCTTTTTAATCAGCTTGTTTTATGCTTTTATTTTTTAGTTCTTACTTTTAGAAAGGCAATTAAATATTATATGCGTAGTTTTCAGAAAGAAATTAATTTGTACTAGTTCAGTTCCATGAAACTTTAATCAAGCAAAAGTGATTTATATTTATTTAAAAAACTGTTTGTTTATTTGCATGTGAATTAAACTAAAGAAAGCTATGCATAAGAATAAATGAATGAACAATGAATCAGAGGCTCGTTCTTGAATGTTAGGAATAGCATGACTAAGCAAAATAAACATTTTAATGCTGTCATTACGTTTTCTGCAAAATCGTATTAGCCATATTTCAGTAAGGGGGCGTGAGGAAAAGAATACGTACGTAACGGACTACTTCAAGAACAATGCATTGCGCCACCCTATAAGTAACGGGAATAATAGACAGACCACGTGACTCACCTCGTACGCGAAAACTTTCTAGTTCTTTTAAAAGTCGCTCGTCAGTTCAAAAACCACGTGCTTTTCAAATATAGGAAAGCTTTCGGGCTGGCGAGTAGGCGAACGGCTTCGAGGTGTTCGACCGGGTCCAGTTGCCTACGCAGTTCCATCCTTGCCTCTAACCTCATTCGCATCCATCGGAGAAACGTCTTCGCTGAAGCGAAACCCTCCGATGACTTATTCAGCAAATATCGACACCTGTTGACGGCCTGCCAAAACATGAATGCAAGGTATGTTTCTCTTTTGTGCTACTAGGAGGAGGTATTATGACTGCATAACTCACGATGTCTTCGTTAAAAACTATTACCAAATGCGGTCGAACAACAGTATTAGATTTTAAGTGATAAAATTTGAGAAATTAGCATAGTTAAAAACTACATATTTTGATCTCGCTTTTACTTACGACTAATAAAGTGATTAATTAAAAAAAGGCGAAAGACATTAATAGGGTAACTGCTATTTTGGATAATACCATACTGGATTTACAGTGCTTATTTTAAGTACTCTTAATTACGGTGTGGGAATGGTAAACTACACTGTATTAATTTTTTTTTTGTCAAATTAAACTGCGTATTTCATTTTAGTAACGTTTATGTTTGAATTTGTAAACAAGACTAATTGGTAACTGACATTGGTGCGCAGGACTTAAAAACTTTAATTTTGAATTGATGTTAAGAGGAAAGCCGTATATTAAGTAATCAACTTCTCAAGACAAGTTCCATATACTGCTTATACTACAGCTCTATCTTTTAGTGGAAAAAAACCTAAGCTATTTGCTATGCTTCGATCTAAGCAATGTCACAGTACATTCTATGGTTGATTTTGAGTTGTTTCATAGGTGTTCTTTTGTGATTGCTTAATGCATAACTGCAATGCTTTCAGAATAATTTGACGTGACGTCTTATAGATTTTATTTTGCTTTATCTTAATTAATCTCACTTCGGACTTACGACGTCAGGGAAGCATTGCATACAAAGCCATTCTCCGCTGTTGTTTATTCTAATATTTCCAACTACGAATACTTTACAATAGAAGTAAAAAAAAAAAAAAAAAAAAAAAAAAAAAAAAAAAAAAAAAAACAGATGATTTTGGACGAATAGTTGATTAATTCATTAAATTTTTGTTTACGTATATCTCTTTTATCTTAATTAATTCCACTTCTGTCTTAAAACTTCCAATTACGTCAGAGAAGCACTGCAAAGAGACCACTCTCTGCTGTTGTTTATTCTAATATTTCCAACTGTGAATAATTTCCAGTAGAGGTAAAATACAACCAGGTGATTTTGGATGAATAGTTGATACCTTTGATAAATTTCTGTTTATATATGTCAATTGTAAAACAAGTTTGTTCAAAGGAGCATTTTTTTCATAATTTTTTTTACTATATTGTTTTATTAGAACTATTTCTGTTATCGTTTTGTTTAAATATAATGAGATAAAATAATTGCAATTTTAGAGAACTTTTCTTTTGTTTACTTCTTTAATTTTTAGTTGTATTTCCTCTGAAGAAGTAAATAAGTTTCAGATGTGATTTCGTAAACTGAAGTTTCAGGGTTAAATTTAAATAACTAGAGTCGATTCAGCTCCTTTCTCTGGATTAATCTGGTGCAGAAATGTTTTTGAATTACCATTCATAAACTCATCTAAAAATAAGATTAGTAGAAGTCCCTGTTTCAGGTTTCTTACCGTTCATTCTTGTACAGTTTAGAAATTTTGTTCATTGATATCCATAACACTATTATCTCTGATTTACAAATGAAAATTTCATGGAAAAGTTTAAATTTCAGATTAAAAGGAAAATGTAGAATGCTGTGCAATACGTATATAAATTAAATGAAATAAAAATTTAGTATGGTACTGTGAGTGTTACGGAGCTTTATTTTGTCATATGATACAAAGCAAATATTTGATAAGGTTCAAAATAACCAAGTTAGAGAAATATTGTAGGGCATAGAAATGCTATTGTGAAAACAGACGTAATCGAGGATCTTATTTCCTGTACTTCATCTTTAAATTCGGATACTTAATTTCATTTAAAAAATAGTCGGAATGCTTTAAGTTGCTTAAAAGTCTGTTAAATTAAGTTGCCATTAAGAAGAAACAAGAATTAATACCTGCACTGCCAAATACCTCTTTTCAATTTTTTATGAGTGTTATATATATATATATATATAAATTATTACGTCAAAGCGCTCAAGGGCTACCTATCCAAGCAGAATGATATCGTAGAGGAATTTCTAAGGCAATTTTTTTAAGTGAGATTTTTAATAAAAGTAAGAGCCCACCAGCGGCCGAGCGGTAAAGTCGCTGAATACTGGTAGTTCGGTCCGAGGTTCGAATCCCGCGAACGGGCTGGCTGCACGGGCGTTTTCGTGGTTTTCCCCATGTGTAACGTGTATACGAGGCAGTTTCCCTTAGAAAGTCCTCCACGAAGGCATCCCTCTCCCCTTAGGCAGACAGCCCTCGAGGCTTTGCCATAATCACATACACACACATCTTAATAAAAGTAAGTAAATGTGATTAGATACTGTTACACTGAATTGTTGTCGAAAATATTATATTTCATTACATTCTTCTGTGATTCCATTAATGCTCGATTATAACGATAATATAATTTGTCACTTCAAGAGTTTGAAAAGGAGATCTTATCTCTAAACTGCTTTAATTTCAATTCAGCTCTTTTCCGACGTCTTAAGAGCTAGTTATTGCGTCAGTCTAAATCAGTACAAACGCATGTTCAAAACAAATTATCCAACGAATCTTTGTTTTAAAACCTGAGCATATAAGATTTATCTCTTCCTTTCTACATAAACTAAACTAGATCTTACAAATGAACTTGGCGAATTCTCGCCCAGGCGTGAAGTAAATACCAGCACAGAACAAGAATGAAAATACCCTTTATTATTTCCAGCTAATAACAGAAAGACATATACTTCTTGCTGTACAGTAACACCGACAACTTTCGGTGGAACTTAAACGTTATATTATAAATCAATTCAAGTCTAAATAAGAATAGTGCTGGATTAGCACGTTAAGTTACGGCTAGCTTAGGTTGACTCAACAAACATAACAGGGGTGACAATTATCCGAAATGGCCAAGGGGCTTATTAGCGTAACAGCAAGATCAGCAACGAATCATGCGCTGGCTAGTGAAAACGTGCTCTGAATAAACGTTAAGATTCACACTTTTAAATACTCACTTCACTTAACTTTAAATTTACATCATGGCAAGGAAATGCGAGCGGAAGTTGAGGAGTTCAGGAAAGATAACAAAAATTTGAATAATATATTAATTTCAACTACAGCCCTACAAGTGTTAACATCTTTATGGCCTGCAGGATCACAACAAACAAAAAATGTGAATTTATTCCCGAAAAGAAAGTCTTCAAACCTAGAAACATAATTAATCGGACTTTTTTTTTAACTCCTTTCTATCTCTTCTGCACTGACTTCTTGTCTTTTTTTCTTTGCCACTGATGTTTTCGTAAGTCAAATTGAATTCCAATTAACCAAAATACAGTTTTACCTCGGTATTCAATACTTTCTTACGAAAATGTTAATCCGAAGAGCTACCGAAGTAACTTCAAATAATCTTCGTATACTATAGTCCTATTAATATCTTCGACTATTATGGTTTTTCACAACGGCAAGCAGAAGAACTGATTTTACTACTTCGTTGCTGAATGTTCTGATGGTGACTTTCTTAAAGTTAATTTAATGCCCCTATTTAGTTTAAATATTCTAAGGTTCCTATGTGGACGAAGAAGCGCTTCAGAGGAGGAAAAGACAGGAAAGCAAGAGAAAGAGCTTCATTACAGAAAAGACGCTCAGGTTATGACGATTTCTTTATTATTTAGGATTCGTTCTTTTCTTTAGATTTCTCTTCTCATTATCTTTTACTTGACTTTCCCAAATGAAAAGCATTTACTTAAATGAAACTATAAAATAAGCAGTTGCTATTACATCGAGAACTGTTGCCCCTGCTGTTTAAAGGCTGAATTTATTTTAGAAAAATAATAAAAGATATGAAACTTTCAAAAATAACCCTTGCATGTTTTGTAATAATTGATTGTATAAACAGCATTCTCAAAATTTATTTGCTCGTGAGTAGTTCAATAAAATATCTTAACAAGCTGGAATACAAAAGTAATTTCTCTCTTGCGGTTTACTTTGAGCGTATGAGATTTGAATAAATAATTGTTTCAACCAAACTTTGAAATTTCTGAAACTTTTTATTTTCTTATCCTAAATGTATTTAGAATTTTAAAAATATTCCTCATTCTTCAAGATCCATACGAACATAAACCTAATTTCATTATTATTAGCAAGAAATTATTATTTCTCGTTATGACAAAACTGATTTAATTGAGTAATATCAATAAGAAATGAAAATAACAAAAGACCTGAAACTTTCTCAAAATTATCCTTTGCGTGTATCGTCATAACTGATTAAATAAACAATATTCTCAAGACTGAGTTAATAAATTTTATCAAACTGGGCTTGCGACATATGACTAAACAGCTGGCTGCGTTATCTTTGGTAAAGAGTTAATAAGCCATTTAAAACAGAATGTAAATACTATGAACTTCATACTTTTCTTTTGTATTCTTTTTAAGATTTACTATACCTTTTGCAGCTCCTTTGCATTACGTGTTGCATTGGAAAGGGAATTTGTATAAACACCGTTTCATTAATAGTTGTTAGACATGGAGCAAATAAGTATACAGTTTAACCAAGATAAAGACTGCCTACGATTATCAATGAGCATTCTCAAAGTATCTTTTGTTCCATTTTCCTCAAATTCACAAAGAATTTCGTTATAAAATCTGAAGAAATATGTTGTCTTTCAAAAGCTGGATGCACAAAATCCTCGTTGAACAATACTGCATTATATTACACTCTGATTCAAAGTCGAAATGACACATTTCGACTTGTAATCAGGTACTAAATATATAAATAAAATTCTTTTATTTGCAGTAATAATAAATTCTTTTATTTAATAATTATTTTAATAATGGAATAATAAATGTAAAATTATTTTATTTGCAAGTGCTTTTCTTTTTATATAGAAGCATTCTTAATGAAAGAAATTAACTGAAAGTTAGAAGCATTTTATAAACAAGTATGCTTAACTTATAATGTAGTGCGTAAAAGAAATAGTTAAAGTTTCCTCTTGTTGAGTCATGAGAGAATTTATTCTGTTTTAAAATCAGTACAAAACAGGTGTCT